AGGTGTCAACTCCACTCTTGACTGTCCCTGGCCACTTTCTCTAACCTTGGCTCATCCAGGCCCTGAGTGACTGTCTCATCCTGGTGGTGCTTCTGTTACTTCTTTTGCTTTTTCCATTTGGTCTTCAGTACGATGTCTGATAGGGCGTTCTTGTTTCTGACATTCTGAAAACATATTAAGCGCAGCCAAATATCTCCATCTTCCCGTTTTATGTTTGCGTTGAAATCTTCAATCTCAGTTTTTCCCAACATTTCATTATTTGTAATAAATTCATAACATTTTATCAATACAAATCTTTATAGACATTTTGATTGAAAACGTTTTCAATTTTCGAACAGTTGCTTTGCTTGTTTTTCCATATCTAACCAAACATCAGTATTGCCAAAACATTGCTACGATACATTTCTAATTTAGTCTTCCGTGACATTACCTGTGAATTTCAAACAAAACCCATGCATTCTCAAGTCTTCACTGGGCGTCGAACATGCATGCAGTCTGCAGTTTTTGGAGATGATGCTGTCAAAGTACATGAATTTATTAATTTTTTTAAAGTGTTTTACGGCGTTCGCAGCTGCATAAGGTCATATGAACGCACGGGACACATAAAACATTTTCAGTTGGTAGGAAATTTTGAATTTTGCCCAGATGGTGGCAGAAGCCTAGTCTTATCGATTCTGGACCACCAAGGAATCTTTATCATGCGCAACATGCACATGAGACCTCCTAGATTTTTCGCCATTATCCGAAAAGGCTAGGTGTAGATCTTACCTGCTAGTAATCAAGGATGTGGCTGAAAGACTTCAGTAAGAAAGAGTCAATTGGGAAGCAGTAGGAAGGCTGCAGAAAGTCAGGAGCCCAGAGAATGGGGCAAAGGAGGTGAGGAGTGGGAGCAAAAAAGTGGAGACGAAAGAGAACGACATAATGTTGTTAAAGAGCAGGACAAGATGTGAAAGGAGAACATTTTAGAGAGAAAAAATGTCAGTCACTATCCGGATTCGAACTCAGGGCCTTTTGATTGAGAGGTCCATACCTTAACCTCTAGACAACGAGAGCCAACGAATTTATCTATGTCTGCTTGAGATTTTCTATACAGAACGATGGGAGTAGTTTCTGGTTATAGTCACAGGACTTCTGTTTATGAAAAATGTATCTTAATGTTAACTTTTTAGCAAATTTTGCCAGGTCCTCGGTTTTTATTTACATTTTCTGCACCCTGGTGTTCAATGAGCAAATGTTATCCCCAAAGTCTAAATTTCCCAGAATGAGCCGTTTGTCCATCTAATGCCTGTTTCGTGTCTGTGTCTCACTACAAAGTCAATCACAGTTCCAAAAGGTACACGTGATAGTATCCAACTTGTCTAACTTCAGTATATATTTCGAAAGGTTAGACAATTCTCTTTCAACTGGGGTACAGCTACTTGCCTTGGTATTGAAGGATTCTATACAGCACATTACTTTTGTTGGGATACCATAAATTGCAAAAATATGTCTCTTATGACTTTTCGGTGATTGCTGTCCTATGTCTTTTTAAGTTTACAAAATTCAAAATAAATGAAACATTTCACTCTTTGCTTTTGTTTAAGATGTATCTGCCTAACCATAATAATACGTTACGTTGTCATCTTCAAGCGCTATTTTTTAGAAGAATATGTAACCCCAAAAAGGACTTGTGATCTGTTGCCCAAGTGTCTGTGTCAGGATTTGACTATTTTCATTTCCTTGCCTCTCTGGCTGTCACTGCATAACAAACTCAGCATTTCCCAGTAGCCTTGATACCATCTACATCTATCACAGCTTTATGTCACTCTGACTGGTCAGTTAGAGGGTTTCCCCACTCATCTATATTAACGGAGAAGTCTTAATAAATAGCTTTTGTATAGCGCATAACTCTGCACTGCAGCAAGCTCTACACGCTTAACACTAGATATTATTACCCCAGCTGATCATAGACCACTCAGAAACGTTCTCAGCTTCCCGGGAAGCATACAGTGCAAGCAGCTGATTAAACGTTCAAATACTAACAAACAGATAAGATCTTTCACTGTCTACAGCTAGGTGACAATTCTCACCAGGGTGAAGTGAGGAAAATTCGTGTCAAGTGCCTTTCCCAAGGACACAATGTTGGGTCCCTGATGGGATTTGAACCCACGACCTTACGGTTGCGAGTCTGAAAGCCTAAGCACAAGGCCACCGACACCACAAGTCTTTAGAATGTCTTAATACTCTTTATTTCATTTTCTTAACGAATTGTTTTTTGGGGGAGGGGGGCATTTATGTTCCGCCTTCAACATATTAAATCTGAGAGGAAAATAACTTTAGGGAGCCATATGTTTGACATTCGGACCAAGTGCCCCCCCCCCCCCCCCCCCCCCATTTAAACTAGATTTTTTTAGACTGCAGAAAATGCTACGGGCTTTCTCCCTCTCGAGAACTTCACTGCTTCAGATCCTATCCCGCTCATGAGTCCTTAGCTATCTTTTCAGACAGGGGAGATGAAACCTGTTGAGATTGATGGTGTGTGTTTTGTACTCTGTCCCAAAACTCAGCATCATATTAAAAGGTTGGTAAGCCCGTTCCAAGCTCTATTTCTCAGCCTACCAAATGCAGAGCCAGCTTTGCTTTTCCTGGTAGTAACTTAGGAAAAATTCTTCATTACGTTGAGTTGGTTATCATGCACTTTCATTACTTGAGAATCGATATTTTGTTTTTCGAGCAGGCTAGTAGAGGATTTCATTGGGGAGGAGGGGGGGGGTGGGGTTATGCCAAAGTTGCTACGAGGCGCTGGAGAAAAAATCCTTACATTCTTGCAGAATGGCCTCGTCAACTGACAGTAGGGCAGAGGCGTTAACAAACAGGAAGACACATACCAGAACCTTTTCATCTTTTTTACTTTAATCCTCGTCAGAGACCGTGAGTCATGCACACTCACATCAGTTCTGGACCTAACGGTAACATCTAGTGTAGTACATTTGAAAGCCTCCTGCAATATTGGAGGGAACATAATGCAAAAAATAGTTGGAACCAGTGTACAACCTATCTTCACGATGTTCGGGACAGGGAAAGACTTAGGCAATTTTTTAATTGCTTAACGCCTTAGCCTGCTAGCCATCATCATAAAATTGTCTCATTGAGTGATAAACGTAAGTGGACTTCGAATATTAGCATTCCACAGGCTTTCGTGGGAGACCGTGTCAAAAGCCTTTTGGAGGTGAACAAATGTGTCGCAATGCCGTGGTATCAGGCGCTCATTAATGTTTGGTCATATGGAGCTATTGGCATCACTTTGAAGCTTGTTTATTTGTCTTGTTTTCTGTGAAAAAACACCCTCGTATCTTGAATAGAAAAAGAGATATTTGCAATTGAAGGAGGTGGAGAGGGGGGGGGGGGGTCATCAGGTGTCAGAGGAAAAAATTGTGAGAAAATGGCCGCCAAAGTTTGATGCCTTCCAAAGTTTGCAGTCTCCTAAGAAACCACAAGTTAACTTTTGTTGTTCCTTTGGTTAACGGACTGTTTTTGTTTTACCTAAAATTCATGCAGGGATGTGGTTTTTAGATAGGTATAGCAGATGGTGATTGCAAAATAAAGAATAGATAAAACATTTCCTAACAGGTAGAAAAATGTTGGTTTCTTCGATTTCATTACGTATTATGGTAAGTGTCTGATTTCCCCACGATGTCACAAATATGTCACATGAAAGTTCATGTGTTGTTCCCTGCGTTTCTGTTGTACATGGTGTCTAAAAAAGACCCATTTATAGGACAATGGTAAGGTCACCTCTTCACCAATTCTACCAAAATATTGAAAAAATCAAATTCTATTTTTTTTTTTTAGATATCAAATTCGTCAATATGAAGAAAAATCAACTTGCATGTTAGAGAATTGTCAAGATTTTAAAATGTTAACCAAACTGAGTAACGTGCAAAAATTATAGCTTTTTAAACATGAACAACAATGTGTATTCAGTGCATTAAAGAACAAATTATTAGAAACCGACATTGGCAAACTAAAGTCGGGAAGGTTTTTGTTTAATTAAAGAATAGTATGCCCTAGTTTTACTTGTTCTCTCCGAATAAAAACGGATACACATGCAAATTTTGAACTTGTGGTATGCTTCTAATCCGATTTGGTCCTCCTGTTTAGCAATGAGTTTCATATGTAAATTGTTTGTGGGTTTTTCGTCGACTCTATCTTTCAAAAACTCCCAAAAGTAAGATGTAACGCTTTGAAAGGGTCTTTTTTTTACAGACTGTAAAGGTAATGACAGTTTTAAATATATAATTATAAAGTGTTCTTCAATGAACATATTTGCATCAGGACGCGGTTGATGTTTAAAAAACATAGGTTTTGCGTTTATATTTTGGTTTATATTTTTTTAACATATTTTTCGAACAGATTGATTATTTTCCACCACATTTACAAATTTGACGTCCCTTTATTTGGATTTTATTTGTTCGAAGTTTTGTTGAAATTGGTGCAAAGATGACTTACCCTTTATATTTGTCCTCCTTTTTTTAAGACACCCGGCATTTAACAGGCATCAAATATCATACCCACTGTGCCCGCCCCCTCTCTTCACTAAAGCCACATCTACTTTTTGGAACGAAATAATTTGCTGGGAGACTGACAAGACCACGGTTCAGAAGAAGTATGGCATGAATCTTGCTAGCAGTGCAACTATACATAATAATTCTAAACTAAATGACCAGTCACGAACGTCGACCCCACACCTCTCAACAAGTCATAGCACATGCTTTTATTTCACATTTTTCCTTTTACCTCACGGTCAACCTGTTCTCTATATCAGCAGGTGCCAGGAAAACTTTTTGAGCATTAGCGTCTCACAACTATGTATGAGCAATATTAGTTGTCTAAATAGCTAGACAGTTGGAAAGGTTACTCTTTGGGTCACACCGATAATGCTCTACGTTCAAGGTATAAGTTATTGAAGTTCTCGGTATGGTCAACGTTGGATGAAAGATTTCTTCTGAATATCTTGAACAATGAACTCCCACACTGTGAAAATTGACACTACCGTTGTCAATGAACTAACGAAGTTTGGAAGTGAAAAAGATGCTGAGGATGGCAGACTTTGTTTGGACCATAAAAAGAATGGCAATATTGATGATATTGAAATGGAGATAGACATCGACTCCCAGAAGCCGCTAGTCTACAGGGTAGATGAGACTCCGCCTTTTCATCTATTGGTGCTGTTTGCTTTTCAGGTACAGCTTTTTGTTGTTTCTACAACAGTTTCTTTTAACTGTTCATGTCGGTTTTGCTACTGCTATTGATGTTGCTGATGGTGTTACTTACTTACTTACTTACTTACTTACTTACTTACTTACTTACTTACTTACTTACTATCTACTTATACCGTCGGGTACATAAGCGGGAGAGCAGTCGACAACCTTCTTGCCTGTCCCTGGCCACGTCCTCCAATTTCGGCAAGTCCACGCCCTGGGTGATTGCCCCATCCCTTATTCTGCCTCCTTAGCTTCCAGTTGGTCTTCCTCGTTTTCTTTTTCCAGTCAATTTCCAAATACCATGTCTGATCGGGCAATCTTGTCTTCAGCATTCTTACAACATGTCCTGGATATCTTCATCTTCTCCTTATCATGGTGGTGTTGATATCTTCAATTCCAGCTCTTTCCAGCACTTCATTATTTGTAATAAATTCTTTCCATTTTATATTAGTAATATTCTTCGTAACTTTTTGTTTGTAAGCTTTTTAATTTTCGTTGAATTGTTTTGGGGGGGTTTTGGGTTTTTTCATTATATCTGAACCATATGCCAATACAGCCAATGTATTGCTATTATAGATTTTTATTTTGTTTTCCTCTTCAGTGAAATTATCTTTGACTTCCATATATCGTTTTAAATTTCACAAAAGCACTCCATGCAATTTTTAGTCTTTGGAGGACGTCGTCAAGGCTGTCAGCAGTTTTGGTATGCTGCCAGGGTACTTGAATTTACTCATTTCTTAAAGGGGTTCTCCCTAAGGAGTGATGGGCGTTGTTTCTGATGATAGTCGTAGTACTTCTGCTTTAGATACATTTATTATAGGGCCAAATTTTTCCGCAGATTTTGCTAGTTTGTTTGTTGTTTTTCTTATTGTATTTCATGTATTATGTATTGTGGAGTTTAATAGGCAGATGTCATCCGAAAAATCTAAATCTCCTAAATATGTGCCATTTGTCCATCCAATGCGTGTTTCATTGTCTTTGCTCTGTCTCATTACAAAATCGATATAAATTCCAAAAAGTACAGGTAATAATATACAGCCTTGTCGAACACCAATATTTACTTCAAAAGGTATAGATAGTTCTCCTCCAACAATGTGTTGGAAGAGGGGAGCAGTTCAGATAGAACAATTATGACGGTTAATGGAACGTTAAAACCATGCTTCAGACAACTCAATTGGCCCAGATGGTGTTACTGCTGTTGTTTGTTTGTTTTGGGGTTGTTGTTTGGAGTTGTTTTTGTTGTTTGTTTGTTTTGTTTGTTTTTTGGGGGGTGTTGTTAGGGGGGGTTATGTTACTACTCATGTTGTTGTTGTTGTTGTTGTTGTTGTTGTTGTTGTTGTTGTTGTTGTTGTTGTTGTTGTTGTTGTTGTTGATGGCATTGCTGCCAGTGTTGTTGTTGTTGTTGTTGTTGCTTTTACTGTTGCTACTAATAATGACTCTGATGCTGTTATTAATACTGCTTTTACCGGTGATTTTATTGGTGTTGCTGTTGTTTCTGTTGCTACTGGTGATGTTGTTGGTGGTGTTGGTGGTTGTGGCCCTATTGTCCTTGTCACTGCCTCCACTCTTTTATGTTGGGTTTTTTAACAGCTACTTCCGAATCTTTATCTTAATGGCCCTGTTAAGATAAGCGTTAATAATACACATAGGCTGCATGTCCTGCTGTTAAACAGGTGTTATTTTGTGTTGTTGTTATTTGTAGTTTGTCAATGTAAGGGGCTTAAGTTCACATAGAGAGAAATTAAGCGGTCAAAAGACAGATATATATTATGAACACATAGAATTATATAAGAGTAGACAAGAAGAAAGATATACATATATTATGGTCGTACTGAGTGATATACTAGATGCGTAGAGTGATATAATTGTAGACAAATAGACAGATACAGCGGACACATAGAGGGGTAAACTAGACCCTTATTTCTTTATATATCCACTATAACAAAGCTATAATTGTCTACTTATTGTCTACTTCAATTCCCAAAATTTCGATAATAAGACATTGCCTCATCTAAGACAGATCTTAGCCCGTCGGGAGACGAGACATTCTTCATTCAACTAAAAAAATATCCTACTTCTCCCAGATAAGATTGTTAACAATATAGGCTACTCCTTCCAGATATGATTGCATGCCCACGTACTATAATAGCTACAGAAGGCTCATGATCTGAGCCACGTTTTTTTAAAAACGTATGACCTAATTTTTACAGCATTTAGTTTTGCTCATGTGAAATAAAAAAAAGTAAAGATTCAAAAGACTAGATTTTATACTCGACCAAAATGTGGTACCTTTCTTTTTATCGCCAGTATAGTAAAATGGGTTTTTTTCACAGAGTATTTGATCATGGGTGGGATGTAACTGATAATCAGGGAGTATGGATATCGTTAAAAATTTCGATAGATCACAGCTCTGATGCTTTTCCTTCTAACTGACCTTTCAATGGGTGGTTGGCGGGTGCTTTGGTGTGGTTTGCTTCTTCTTTCTCATCAAACATATATCCTCTTATCTCTCTCCCTTCTTTTTTATATTTGTTGCTCTCTTGTAACACCTGTAATCTTCGGCACGTATATGACCTTATTGTGCTGCAAGTGACGTAAAACGCATACTAAAGCTAAACTGACCTTGCAGATCGGCCCCATTTGACCAGTGGTGATCTATTCTCTCGTATTCTTCCAGCAAACACTCCTGGCTGTTGAGACTACAATCGTGGTATCAGCGCTGGTGGCGGAGGTAGCGTGTGCGAGCCATGACTTCAACGTCAAGGCTCAAATCATGAGCGCTACGATGATTATGGTTGGTGTGTCTACCTTCCTCATGTCCACTATTGGTGTCAGGTCAGTTCTGTTTGTTGTTGCTTTTTCAATAATATTTATTGTGTGTGTGTGTTTGTGTGTGAGTGTGTGTGGAAGTGCGCGCGCGCGCGCGCGCGCGTGTGTGTGTGTGTGTGTGTGTGTGTGTGTGTGTGTGTGTGTGTGTTTGTAAGAGTATGTGCGTGTGAGTATTGTGTGTGTGTGTTGTGTGCGTATGTTGTGTATGTGTGTTTGTTGTGAGTGTGTTTGTGTGTGTTGTGCGTTGTGTGTTGTGTGTTGGTATGTGTTGTGTGTTGTGTGTTTGTGTGTGCGTTTTGTGAGTATTTGTGTGCGTGCGTGTGTGTGTGTTTGTGTGTGTGTGTGTGTGTGTGTGTGTGTGTGTGTGTATGTGTGTGTGTTTATTTGCTTTTGTACTTTCGAAGGAAGAGGTTTATGATTTCGGGCAAAAGAAGGAATGAAATAATAGTCTGTGCTTTATTGACGTTGTGTCTGAGCTGTTCATGCTTGGGTAAGCATCTAACACGATGTGTATCGGTCCGTTTCTTTGCAGACTGCCGATATTGCAAGGGCCTACAGTAATGTACATTGTCAATATTGTGGCACTGATGAATCTTCCAGAATGGAAATGCCCGCCGATGATCAAAGGTCATCATCATCATCATCATCATCATCATCATCATCATCATCATCATCATCATC